ACCCCCCCAGAGGAAATGGTGGGCATTAAAATCACCAAGTAAACAGAAGTGGTGGTGGTAAGGATGAAACAAGAAAGGCAAAGTCTGGGATAGAAATGCTCGAGAAGGAGAGAGATATAAAGAACATATTGTAAACCACTTATTCAAGGGATACGGGCTGCAGTGTAATGCAGGAGGTATGGACAAATAGTTGACAGTACGGAATATCATTGCGTAGAGAAGGGCACTTTCATTAAAGGTCCCATCTGAGAAAGATCCGAAGAATTACAATAAATTATAGCCTGAGATAGGTTGGAAAACAGCCGAGTGTAATTTTGGTTCTTGTAAGCAAGCACCAACAGGGGAAAACTGGAAAGCAACATCTGAAGCTCACCCCGATTACCCTGAGGCCGCGGATATTCCACTGTAAATAGGCCATGATTGGCGATGAAGAAAATATCAGGATCTGTAGGTAAAGGCACCTACGGACTAGAGGGGTTAGAAAAGTCAACGTGTGGTGGCATTGGAAGATGTTCAAGTAGCGAAGGAACGGAGCGTTGCGAAGAATGGGGTTGTGAAGATGGAGGAGAGGGAAGAGAAGGAACAGGAAGTGAATCAGTGTCCATTGAAGGTTTAGTCTCTGCAATATATTCTGGAAATGGCTTCAAGTGTTTCTGAATTCAAAGATGTATGGGAAACCATATTGGAGATAGGAGGAGGAGGGTGAGTAAAGATTGGGACAGAATGGACTGTACCAAAGTAGAGGGGGAGGGAAAAGTGTAAGGGACTGGAGATGAAGTGTGGGGGGGGACAGAAGAGGTAGAACCTGGGAGGTGACAGAAGAGGGAGAAACTTGGGAGGGGACAGGGGTGGAAGGCATAGTACGAGGAGGAGGGTGAATCTCCACACTTGTAATAGAGCCAGAGGAGGGGAAGAACTAGGTACAGAGACTGGAAAGGTAACGTGTGGAGGTGGAAGAAGGGAAGGAAGGGGCAAAGAAGATTTGAGCAATGTGGATTTTTTGGACTTCTGAGTAGAGGGGCGATTGGTATTAGGTGTCGTACGAGGTCTTGTCGATACTGGGGCTTGTGAGGAAGGACGCGAAGATGTGAGAACAGATGAGTTGTAGTCGGGACGTCAGAGCCAAGGACAGCAAAAGGATTAGATGCCGTATATGGCTATGGGAGGGGTAACAACAGAGGAGGCTGCAGAAGATGGGACCCCAGAAGTGGGGGGATGTTTGGAAACACGAGAATAAGAACACGGGGTAGTCTCCTTGGAGGCGGAGATGAGTAACTGCCATAGCATAAGGGAGACCTTCTGCCTCTTTGAGGCAACGGATTTCACGTTCATTTAAGTAGACCTGGCAACGGCGGGGAGTACGAAGGGTGAGCTTCATTACAATTAAGGCAAGATGGAGGTTGACTGCAAGATGTATTAGAATGGTTGTCGGCACACAGACTGGGCATTCGGCCATAGATCTGCAATATTTTCGCTGGTGACCAAAACGCCAGCAATTTCTACATTGTTGCGGTGTAGTATCACCTTTCGAACTTGTAACCGATGTCCCGCGACTATACAGAGGACGGGAGTTCTCGGCTGTCAAAGTTAAACGAGCCACATTGCAAGGGTAACGTCTCCGCCCCCGGGCAGGAAGGACATAAGTGTCTACTTTGAGGATTGGGAGATCCTGGAGTTCCAGCTGTTCAAAAATGTCCATTGCCACATGACTGGAAATTCTGTTGGACTATGGTATGGGGCAGAATGACAGTACCACTACAAGAATTGAGAGAGAAGATGTTTTTCAATAGTGATAGGAGTAGTATCGATATTCGAAAGGAGAGAAAGATCATGAGCTTGGGTAGCATTCTGGACAGTGACGATGCGCGTACCGCTCTTGAGAGCGTGAAATGAAATATCTCTGCCAACATGGACGCAGGAGCGCTTTGGCAATACTATGGTCAGAAAGGTAGGCAGAAGAAGAAGTTGGTCTTAAAGTAAAGAATTTAGTCCATTTGTGGTCCGAAACTGAGCGTGGAGAGGGAGTGCTTGACGTGTCGGTCGTTTCCGAGTAGAATGGGAAGGTAACGACGGAGCATCATCAGGAGATTGACGTTGGCGTTTAGGAGTAGGACCGGAGTTGGTCCGGCATGAAATGGGTGGGCGATTCGAAAATTGCCGTACCGTAGAGGGAGAAGCCGGAAGCATAGTCAAAGGAGAGCGGAGTTCAGACAAATCGAAGGAGTCAGTCGAAGCCCGGTACCTGAAGCGGGTGAGGAAACAGCACCAGCAAGAGGTACAGGGGCATCAGGAGTGTCCGAAGAGTGGTCTAAACACAAGGCAGGGTCAGAATGGGGTGCGGTATCAAGAAGGGGCCCGGGGGGTAGTGGTTTCATGGACTAGGGCTGCCATGGTTAGGTTACTCCTTTGCTTTTTGTTTTTAAGAAAAAAAAAGAAAGAAGAAAAGAAAATAAAAATAAAAAAAGAATAAAAAAGGGGGGAGCGGGGAGGAATAGTTCCCAGGAGGAATGAAAGGGCCGGAAATCTCCCTCCGCGCCCAAGAGGACTCGACACCGCTAGTAGCGCAGATGCAGCATGGAACCCGTGCCATACCCTACCCTTCATGCCAGTAAACCAGCAATCCGGGATAGCAACCTCACATCTGCCGAGCTACCTCGGTGGACAAAAGAGAGGGCGGCCGGATATCCGCCACAAAGCATACCTCCTTCAGCACCACCCCGGAATCCGAAAGGTGGCTTCCAGAGATACACCCGTCGCCCAAAAGACACCCAAAGCTACTCCGGGATACCGGAGAGGGATGGGACATCCCTAGGCAATCCAGATTCCACGGCAAACTACGCCACCGCCAGAAACCTCAACGGAATGGGATCGACCCCGGTGTCCTTTCCCCTACCTAGGAACTAGCACGCCTGTGGGAGAAATCACGAAGGCTAAAAAGAGGAAGGGCAAAAGGGAGGGGTGAGGAGGAGGAGGAGGAATGGAAAAAGGGGAGGATGGGGAGGATGGGATAGGGGAGGGGAGAATGGGGGGTAATTAGGTTCGGTCTGAGGAAGAAGACCGACAGGGCTAATTCCTCAGACCAAGAGCCTCTTCACCACGCCAAGGAGCCCCCCTTGAAGAGGTATAACCATTATAGAGAATAAACTTGAATTGAATTGAATTGAGAAAGACTGGAGTTCTATTTATCACAAAAATATTTTCAAGACAAAAATGGCTAAATGTTTACCATAAAACAAATAGAAATCTTGGCTTCATATCAAGAAAAATTGATAAATGGAGGACTTATGTTATTCAAACTTATATTCCAGCTTTGGTGAGGCTTCATTATGATTATGCTGCTCAGTTCTGGTCTCCATTTACAGAATAGACATTAATGTGCTTGAAAACATTCTGAAACAAACGAAGATGATACGTACATCAGAATCCTAAAAGACAAGTTAAAAGCAATAAGTTTGTAAGCCTTGGAAAGGCATTTATTTTTTTTGCAGTGCTTTACAGGTGAGTCTGTTATAAACTCCAGGAGAGATAGTATTTCATTTTGTCTTCCTTCAAGATTTTTGTTTATGACTTCAGAACACCTGATCCGACCGGCTTCAAATTATCTGCACTGGTGAACTACAATTAGGAAAAGACAAAACTATAAATTTTATGAAGCTATTTCAGAATTTTTGGACTCGTCTCTCACTGGTTTCATCTCTTTCTTTTCTGTGATGTGATTTTTAATTCAAAGATTAGGTATAGGTAAGAACTTATTTATTTATTAAATTAGTTAATAAACTTTGAATTGTATTTCATGTGATGACTAGTGAATATCTCTTCCGATCAGCTTCAAACTTTGTGTCATGGTGGACACTCCTCCGAACAAGGTTCACACATTTTTGGGGTTGCGTAAATTTTAATACATTCATTTCATTAAACAAATTGATTTCTATGCAATAACTGCAAACCCTAAACACTTGTACTTCTAAATTAGACGCATTTTTTGTTGCCAATTTACTAATTTAATTGAAAAATATATTTTCCATGTGATATCTTGAGAACACAAATTCTAAGCACCTTAAATTTAAATTGTTGATGCATTTTATCTAGAAAAAAAGTTTATTGTTGTTGGGTTGTGTAAGTTCTGATCCGCCGATTTTGTTAAATAGGAATATTAGTTTTTTTGAGGATGTTACTTGAAATTATTCTTTAAGCTTCCACAGTTGGTGTATCATAGTTTATGGAAACTTTTATTTGTTTAGGGCTATTTTAATGCCAATTTGCTTTTGTTGTTGAAGAAATTTATTATTAGTTTCGACGCAAAGGCTTCTGAAATTTTCTATGAACAGCAACAAACTTTCATTGATGGTATTTGTCAACAGTAAAAACCGATGATGCTCTCTTTAACATTACTTTTGCGTGCATTGTGATAAAATATGATAAGTTTATGTTATATGAGGGATACATCTCTCGGGTCACATAGTGACTGAAGGAAATCTAATTTATATGCGAGAAGAGAATACATGCTGCGCAGTGGCGGCTGGTACGGGGGTGCTGCAGGTCCGCAGCACCCCCGCACCAACCGCCACTGATGCCGTAGCCGCTAAATTCTCTCAACCTTAGACCTTCGTTGTTTTATTTCATTCGTTAGTGAAAAATAGTGTGACACATATGTTTGTGATGTACTCATTCATTCAGATTTTGCCAATGACCAAAAGTGAAGACGCAGCAATAAATAAAAACCACTCTTATGCCATGCTATATATTTTGGTGTGTCGTTATAGAGGCGAGTGTGGTAATCATTGGTCCTACAATCATGGTGCAGCTACTCTTGTCTTATATGTTTTCATTGGCGTGAGAGTTAATCACTTAACATTTTACCTTTAAGCTTTCATGATTAATTCTGATTACTGATCACTTGACCTCTCCTGCTCTCAAACCTTCTTCATCTTTTCTCAGTTAATGTAACCTCTGGTAACACTTTCTTATCTTATCTAAAATATTTAAATCTTTCATAACAGGTAAACGATGCATGGTTGGCCATAGAATACCTTGCAAATCATGTCATTGCGTCTGATTTAGTTGCGAGTGAGTTAGCTAGATCACAGAAACAGCAGAGGAGGCCGTGGCTGAGGTGAATCTTGTTCACTTGTAACCAGATGCCGATACTGAGACAAGGACAACTGAAGCAGTGATTTCTGGAAATTATTTGAACCTAACGTTGTGTCTTCACTGTTCTACGACACAATGTGCTCCACCGATCTACCCGGCGCTACCGTCACTGTCTCCCTCAAGAACCAGACGCCGCTAATGATGATGTCGTCACAGCTAAAACAGACATCTCAACAAACATTGGCGTCCCTGATGTATAAGACGTAGCTACTGACACTGTCTCTCCTGCTGAAAAAAGTTGCAATTGACATTGTTATTCCTGCTGATCAAGACCTAGCTGCTGAAACAATCTGCTTTCTGAACCATTCACCGCTACTGACAGTGTCTTTCTCATTGAACAATACGTAGTTAAAAGCAATCTTGATCGCACTGACACCACAACTATGTTGTAGATGAATAGTATAGAATACCGACAAGACGAAAATTAGACACATGAACAAAATCTGGGCATCTACAGTGGCCGCAGAATTATCTATACTTTAACAACTTTTAGACAATAAAACGAAAAAAATTCAACTTAATGTATGGACATGTATTTTATTTTCACTTTTTAGTATCCAACTAGTACTTAGTCATGTTACAATGTTCTTTATCACCATCTGAAGTCGCCTGGGCGAGGACAGAGAAGAGGGAGGAGTTCCTGTTGATCCAAAGCTTCTTCAGTGCCTCCTTCAGGTCAGTGATGTTGGTGGGTCGAGCTTTGCAATCTTATTTTTCATCACATGTCAGGCATTCTCGATAGGATTTAGGTCAGGGGAATTGCCTGGCCACCCCAAAACACTGATATTATTGTCCTCGAGGAGCTTTTTCACTTCTTTTGACTTATGGGCAGGGACACCAACATGAAAAAAAATCACACTCTTGAATGTTCCAAATTGTCAGCATGTGGTCCCTTAACACCTCGATATAATTACTTCCCTTCATCGTAATGTTCTTAGGAAGAAAGTATAGTCCACCTCTGCCCTTAAAACCACTAAAAGCATCCCAGACCACAACACTATCAGGGTGCTTCACTGTCTTCAAGGCATCCCGCGGGTTATAACGGGACACACCACTGTGATGACAGACGGTCTTAGAGCCGCTCCTGACGATCGTGAAGGCACTCTCGTTGCTGAACATCACCTTCTGCCACTGGTCTGAGGTCCAATCCTTGTACTTCTTTCAGAACTGAAGCCGTTTCTTCTTCATGGCTTCAATTAGCACATCAAGCAGGCATTTTCTGGTTCTTTGCAGTCAGTACTGAATGCGACGTCTTTCGGAAATGCAGGATGCTTTTTGTTGAGGTCTGCGGCTGGTATGGCAGGATCTGGTAACACTTCCCTCTTCTGATAGCACTTCCCTCTTCCCTCCTAGGTGGTACGGTGCCAGGTGGGAGTGAGGCAGCTGCTTTCATGAGGTTGTAAATTGCCTTCCTAGACACCTTCAGGTCTGCGACTATGGATATTACAGACATGCCTTGCTCTAATAGGGTGAGTGCACGAGTCTTCTCTACAACTGAAAGTTCAGTTCGACCCATTCTGACCACTTGGAGCTGAGATATAGCATGGCAAAGTTCGTGGGCGAGTGAAAAAATGGGCAATGAGTAAAAACATAGTAATCCTCCTTCCTAATCGAGCTCTCTGGAAGAGCTGGGGAATGTTGGAGCAAGACGGGCTCCGGTACACTAAGCCATCACAAGCTCTGCCCACTTTTCTTATGGCGGAAATTCAAGTGAAATGTATACACCAAACTCTAGTGAATAGATCTTTTCTTGCATTGGAAATGTATAGATTTTTTTGCGGCCAATGTACATTGTAGACATTTCGCCATCCAGTGGCTTTATCAATACAAATTCAATGACATAATTGGAGAAAAGTAGAAGTGTATACAAAAGGTGGGATAATCATTCCCAGACTCCATGATGTTGCAGTATCTGACAGACTGTACTGTACACGTTCTACTGTCTACCAATTACGTCCTTCAATTTGTATTGATGCAGCCACTGGATGGCGAAGCGTCTACAATAAAGATCCCAGATGTTGCAAATGTGTCTAATCGACACCACAACTGACTTTATTATTCCCGCTTAACCAGACACATCTGCTAACACTATCGTATCTAATGACACTGTCGTCCCTTCTTAACCAGGCACCTCTATATGCATTGTAGTCCTTAGGTAAAAGGACACAAGTGCAACTAGTGTGACATAAGGTACAGAGTGAGGTGCAAAAAAAATAACATAGTCATTGTTGGTATTAGTAGTAGTAGTAGTCCTTGTCGTGGTGGAAGTAGTAGTGGTAGTAGCAGCTATGTGATGGTGGGGTTTATTGCTTGCAGAAGAACTCTTGCCAATACTTCGAAGATGATGAATCTGCATTAAGTCGTCATTCCTACATGAATTTGTGTTCACTGAGACGTGTTTCAAGGTTTCTTGCTGTTTCTCCTACGTATATTCTGTCGCACCCTAAACAGGGGATAGTATAAACCCCTCCATTGATTATATCAATGTTTTCCAATTTCGTCCTAGTCAGATCTTTTATAGAACTATTGGATGCAATGGCGACTTAAGTGTTAGTTTGTATGAGTACTTTAAAGACGTTCAGTGCAACATGGCCGTAGGGAAAAGGATTATAACTTTGTTAGGAGCGATGTTAGTGCGTGGAGAATTGATCACCTGAAAGACTCTTGGAGTTTTCGATGAAAAAGGAAGGGATATGTAGATCAGTGAAGGTTTGGTGTATGTATGTACACTCGTGAAGAAACTGTGGACTGCAAATTCGATATGCTCTTAGGAAAAAATCCAGTGATGATCCAATGAAGATCTGACTAGGACGAAATTGAAAAAAAACATTGATCCAATCATCGCTGGGGTTTATATTATCTCCTGTAGAGCTTGTGACAAAATATGCATAGGTGAAACAGCAAGAAACCTTGAAACTTGAAACACGTCTCAGTGAACACATAAAGGCATGAAGTAATGATAACTTGAACAAAGCCAGTGTAGAACACCGGAATTCCGCCAACCACTTGATGAAATTAACGACGGCAGCCGAGTGATCAGTTTCCGTACACTTAAGTGCCTTGAATCATTATTAATCACTTTTTCTAACACAATTAAACAAAATGTAGGTTACTTCATTATCTCTGAAACATTGACAAGAATACTCTTCGCCATCACTTACCTGCTACAACTACTACGACAAGTGCTACAACTACTACGACAAGTGCTACAACTACTACGACAGTGCTACAACTACTACGACAAGTGCTACAACTACTACGACAGTGCTACAACTACTACGACAAGTGCTACCACTACTACTTCTACAACTACTACCACCACCACCACCACAAGGAATATACTACTACTATATTATGTTTTGTACCTCACTGTACCTCTATGTGTCCCTGTGTTGTTTGTAACAGCTTGACAAACTTCCTGGAGAGCGAAACGTAGCCATAATAAAATGTCACATTGTACTTGTGTCCTTTTTACCCAACATATTGTCGGTAATTCTAACAACATTATTACTGTTGTCCTCGCTGAAGCAGACACCTCTGCTGACACTGTCTTCCTCGTTCCAGCTGAAAGTTGTCGCTCCCGTTGAACAAGTCGTTGCTACTAACACTTTGTCCTCGATGAACTAAGCGCTTCTATTTATCCTGTCGTCTCAGCTGAACCAAAAAGCTTCTATGTAAAACGTAGGTACTGCTACTGTGGCCTCCATTGAGTAAAACATTGCTCGTGATATTGTTGCCTCTGTTGAGAAAGACGTGGCTAATGACTCTGTTGTCTCCGTTTAACTACACGTCACTTCTACTGCTGCTGCTGCTGATGCAGGTGTCGCAACTGACACTCGTTCAAGCTGAACCGAACGCATCTGCTGTCACTGTCTTTCTTGTTGAACTAGGTATAACTACTGACACCATCATCTCCTCTGAACCAAATGCCTCAACTAACACTGCCATCCACACTGAATAATACTTCGCTTCCGATACTGTCGTCCCAGTTGAACCAGACGTCGCTAGTGATAATGGCTCCCTGGCTAAATAAAATGTAGCTATTGACGTTGTTCCCCTTTTGTGGACTCCACTAAGATGATATGGTCTCCACTTCTTAGGACGTCGCTAATGGCACTGTGGACTCCACTTAGTAAGAAATCCCTCATGATACTGTGGTCTCCGCTAAGTAAGATGTTGCTAATGACACTTTGGTCTCTACTGAGTAATACGTCGCTAATGATGTTGCTTTTTACACTTAACCAGACGTCACATCTGCTAATGATTGCTGTGATGCAGGCATCGCTACTGACACTGTCGCCCCCGATGAGGCAGGCGTCACTACAGATACTTTCCTTCCGACAAAGCAGGCGTCATTACTAACTCTGTCGAACCTGTTGAAGGAGGCGTCACTACTAACACCATCGTCATCTCTAAAGCAGGTTTTGCTACTGACAGTCACCCTCGATGAAGCAGGCGTTTCAGTTAACAATGTCGCATCCCCCAACACACACAACTGCAGCACGGGTCACTGTTGCATCCGTCCACACACAACACTGCAGCAAGGGTCACTGTTGCATCACCCACACACACCACTGCAGCACGGGTCACTGTTGCATCCCCCACACACACCACTGCAGCACGGGTCACTGTTGCATCCCCCACACACACCACTGCAGCACGGGTCACTGTTGCATTCCCCCCACAACACTGCAACACAGGTCACTGTTGCATTCCCCCACACACAACACTGCAGCACGGGTCACAGTTGCATCCCACACACACAACACTGCAGCATGGGTCACTGTTGCATCCCTCAACACACAACACTGCAGCACGGGTCACTGTTGCATCCCCCACACACAACACTGCAGCACGGGTCACTGTTGCATCCCTCACACACAACACTGCAGCACGGGTCACTGTTGCATCCCCCCACACACAACTGCAGCACGGGTCACTGTTTGCATTCCTCACACACAACACTGCAGCACAGGTCACTGTTGCATCCCTCCACACACAACGCTGCAGTACGAGTCACTGTTGCATTCCTCCAAACACACCACTGCAGCAGTGGTCACTGTTCCATCCCCCCCACACACAACACTGCAGCAGTGGTCACTGTTGCATTCCCCACACTCAGCACTGCAGCAGGGGTCACTGTTCCATCCCCCCACACACAACACTGCAGCAGTGGTCACTGTTCCATCCCCCCCACACGCAACGCTGCAGCAGTGGTCACTGTTGTATCACCCCACACTCATCACTGCAGCAGGGGTCACTGTAGCATCCCACCACTCACACCACTGCAGCACAGGTCACTGTTACATCCCCACACACACACACATGATAAGGCTGAGGAAAGAAGGTGGAGAACTCACAAGAAACGATCAAGAGGTATGTGAGGAGCTCAACATGAGATTAAAGGAAGTATTTACAGTGGAGACAGGAAGGCCTCTCGGGGACAGACCAGATGGGGACACCAGCAAGGAACATACCAACAAGTGTTGGATGACATACATACAGATGAGGAGGAAGTGAAGAAACTGCTAAAGGACATCGTTACCTCAAAGGCAATGGGACTGGACAACATCTCCCCGTGTGTCCTTAGAGAGGGAGCGGATATATTGTGTGTGCCACTTACCACAATCTTCAACACGTCCCTGGAAACTGGGCAACTACCTGAGATATGGAAGACGGCAAATGTAGTTCCCATTTTTAAAAAAGGAGACAGAAAAGAGGCACTAAACTGACGTGTATATTATGCAGAGTTATGGAGAAGATTATCAGGAGGAGAGGGGTGGAGCACCTGGAACGGAACAAGAGTATAAACGCCAACCAGCATGGATTCATGGAAGGAAAATCCTGTGTCACAAACCTTCTGGAGTTTTATAATAAAGTAACAGAAGTAAAACACGAGAGAGAGGGGTGGGTTGATTGCATCTTCTTGGACTGCAAGAAGACCTTTGACACAGTTTCTCACAAGAGATTAGTGCAGAAGCTAGAGGATCAGGCTCATATAACAGGAAGGGCACTGCAGTGGATCAGAGAATACCTGACAGATAGGCAACAACGAGTCATGGTATGTAATGATGTATCACAATGGGCACCTGTGCCGAGCGGGATCCCACAGGGGTCGGTCCTAGGAACAGTGCTATTTTTGGTATATGTGAACGACATGATGGAAGAGTTAGACTCAGAAGTGTCCCTGTTCGCAGACGATGTGAAGTTAACGAGGAGAATTAAATCAGATGATGACCGGGCAGAACTTCAAAAAGACCTGGAAAGACTGGACACCTGGTCCAGCAACTGGCTTCTCGAATTTAATCCCGCCAAATGCAAAGTCATGAAGATAGGGGAAGGGCAAAGAAGACCGCAGACGGAGTATAGGCTAGGTGGCCAAAGACTGCAAACTTCACTCAAGGAGAAAGATCTTGGAGCGCGTATAACACCGAGCATGTCTCCGGAAGCACACATCAACCAGGTAACTGCTGCAGCATATGGGTACCTGGCAAACCTGAGAACAGCGTTCCGATACCTTAATAAGGAATCGTTCAAGACACTGTACACCTTGCACGTCAGGCCCATACTGGAGTATGCAGCACCTGTTTGGAACCCGCACTTGATAAAGCACGTCAAGAAACTAGAGAAAGTGCAAAGGTTTGCGACAAGGTTAGTTCCAGAGCTAAGGGGAATGTCTTATGAAGAAAGGTTAAGGGAAATCGGCCTGACGACACTAGAGGACAGGAGGGTCAGGGGAGACATGATAACGACATATAAAATACTGCGCGGAGTAGACAAGGTGGACAAAGACAGGATGTTCCAGAGGTCACAATTGGAAGTTGAAGACACAGATGAGTCAGAGAGATATTAGGAAGTATTTCTTCAGTCATAGAGTTGTCAGGCAGTGGAATAGCCTAGAAAGTGATGTAGTGGAGGCAGGAACCATACATAGTTTTAAGACGAGGTATGATAAAGCTCATGGAGTGGGGAGAGAAAGGACCCAGTAGCAACCGGTGAAGAGGCGGGGCCAGGAGCTAGGACTCGACCCCTGCAACCACAAATAGGTGAGTACAAATAGGTGAGTACACACCACTGCTGCACGCGCCACTTTTGCATCCCCCCCACACACACACACCACTGCTGCAGGGGTCACTGTTGCATCCCCCCCACACACACACACACACACACACCACTGCAGCAGGGGCCACTGTTACACCACTGCAGCAGGGGCCACTGTTGCACCACTGCAGCAGGGGTCACTGTTGCATCCCCACCAAAACACACACCACCGCTGCACGCGTCACAGTTGCATCCCCCCACACACACACCACCGCTGCAGCAGGGGTCACAGTTGCATCCCCCCTACACACACACACCACTGCAGCAGGGGTCACAGTTGCATCCCCACACACACACACACACCACTGAAGCAGGGGTCACTGTTGCATCCCCCCCACACACACACCACTGCAGCAGGGGTCACTGTTGCATCCCCCCCAGACACACACACACTCACACACACCACACACACACACACACACACACACACACACACACACACACACACACACACACACACACACACACACACACACACACCACTGCAGCAGAGGTCACTGTTGCATCCCCACACAACCCCCCCCCTGCAGCAGGGGTCACTGTTGCATCACCACACACACACACACACGCACACACACACCACTGCAGCAGGGGTCACTGTTGCATCCCCCCACCCCCCCACACACACACACCACCATGACCAAGGTGGCAAATTTTCGGAGAATCGGGTGGTTCACAAAGAAAAGGAATCGGCCTCTCAAAGTAATTTTCAAGGCAGAATCAACTCGAACCATGATCCTGCAGGAGAAAGCACGGCTGAGAGGCAAACAGGAGTTCAAGAGTGTGTACCTCGATCGAGAATGGGAGGAAATGAAAAAGGAGAGCAGAATAACGCAGGAACAGGTGGAAGGACAAGCACACCCCCCAGAAACACCTGCAGAAGGACTCCAGCCACGACACCCCCAAGGCAACTGGACAATCCAAACCAACCATCGCACTCTGTTCCCACCCCCCGCACCACGAACCCTACCCCTACAGCAACCAGGGCTCCTGCTCTCCCTACCCCAGTATTCCCCCAGGACCACAGTTACAGTATTAGAACATAAGTTGAAGGTTTGGTGCACAAATGCGGATGGATTAACGAATAAATATGAGGAATGGCAAGAAAGAACCAATGAGAAGTCCCCAGACACCATAGCAGTTACAGAAACAAAACTCACGGAGACAATAACAGATGCAATCTTCCCACCAGGATACCAGATCATGAGGAAAGATAGAAGGGGCAGAGGGGGAGGAGGGGTTGCTCTGCTCGTAAAAAAACAGATGGAAATTCGAGAAAATGGGAGGCATAGACGAGACAGGAGAAAGGGACTACATAGTAGGTACACTTCAGTCTGGGGAGCACAAGGTGGTCATTGCAGTGATGTATAATCCACCACAGAACTGCAGGAGGCCAAGAGAGGAATATGAAGAGAGCAACAGAGCAGTGGTGGACACACTTGCTGAGGTGGCAAGAAGAGCTCACTCCAGCAGAGCAAAGTTGCTGGTTATGGAGGATTTCAACCACAGGGAGATTGACTGGGAAAACCTGGAGCCACATGGGGGTCCCGAAACATGGAGAGCCAAGATGTTGGATGTGGTGCTGGAAAACCTCATGCACCAACATGTGAAGGACACTACCAGAGTGAGAGGAAAGGATGAACCAGCAAGATTGGACCTTGTGTTCACCCTGGTCAGTTCAGACATTGAGGACATCACATATGAGAGTCCCCTAGGAGCTAGTGACCACGTGGTTCTGTGCTTTGTACATAGTAGAGTTACAAGTGGAGAGAGTAACAGGAGTTGAATGGGAAAAGCCAGACTATAAAAGAGGGGACTACATAGGGTTGAGGAACTTCCAGCAGGAGGTTCCGTGGGACAGAGAACTGGCAGGAAAGAGAGTAAATGAAATGATGGAATATGTAACAACAAAATGCAAGGAGGCAGTGGAAAGATTTATTCCCAATTGCAACAAAAACAATGGGAAGACCAGCACGAGCCCCTGGTTTACCAGACGGTATAAGGAGGCAAAAACAAAGTGCAATAGAGAATGGAAAAAGTACAGAAGGCAGAGAACACATGAAAATAGGGAGATTAGTCGCAGAGCCAGGAACGAGTATGCACAGGTAAGGAGGGAGGCCCAGCGACAGTATGAAAATAACATAGCATCGAAAATCAAGACTGACCCGAAATTGTTGTATAGCCACATCAGGAGGAAGACAACAGGCAAAGACCAGGTGATCAGACTGAGGACAGAAGGTGGAGAACTCACAAGAAATGATCAGGAGGTATGTGAGGAGCTAAACAGGAGATTTAAGGAAGTTTTTACAGTAGAGACAGGAAGGGCTCTGGGAAGACAGCAGAGAAGGGAACATCAAGAGGGAATATACCAACAAGTGTTGGATGACATACGAACAACCGAGGAGGAGGTGCAGAAGCTGCTAAGTGACCTTGATACCTCAAAGGCGATGAGACCGGACAACATCTCCCCATGGGTCCTTAGAGAAGGAGCAGAGATGTTGTGCGTGCCTCTAACCACAATCTTCAGAACATCCCCTTGAA